AAGAGATTTTATAAACAGACTTTATAAGTTTATTGATTTTAATTTGAAGTTAAAAATGGACTTGTTGAGAAATAAAAAGAGAAGAAAATATTTAAATCTGTTCATAATTACCTAGTTATTGATTTGTTGTTTAATTTTATCTTTTCAATTGTATTTGGATAGCTTATTAAGGATTTTATTATAATTTGAACTAGAGTTTTTTTGTTGGATCTGTAATAATTTTTGAGAAAGATTAGTGATCCAAAATATTTAATGCTTTTATAAGATTTGAGTATTTGTATTTAGTGATTGTTAAATTTGATTGTATCTTGAATATCATGGTTTACTTTAATATTATTAATTATTTTTTTTTGTCTTGTTATATATAATATTGTTTATTATAAAAAATTAATTGGCTGTCAAGAGAAGATTTTTTATTTTTTGTTTGGAGTTAGCAATGAATATAAGATTATCCATATAAGCTAGAATATTAGAAGCAATATACTTTAACTCAAGTAATTGGAAATAATGTTTCACCTTACTCTATATTATTATTGATGATAAATGGATTGGTTGGTCCAAAAGATGTATTAATAGAGGTTTCTCTATTGCTAAGAATGTTGACAAGAAGGATTCAGAACATTTAATTCTTTCTAAAGATTTTCTTATTGCTAGTATAAATGCAAAATGAATTTTTTACCAATATCAAGAGAGACAAATTAAAATTTCTTGTTGTTGACATTTAAAACTTGAAGAGCTGAACCAACAATTGATAAAAACTTCATGATACTTTGTCCTGAGAGACTGGCACAGTTGAATTTTGATAGGATATTGTTATTTTAAGAATTTTTTTTAGTTTCTTGTTAATTATTCCAGTAAATACCTTTCTTGTGGATTCGACAAGAGAGATAGATCTAGTGTAGAACAATTGCTAATTATCTTTTTTTATAAATCAAAGAAAGAGGACTTCTGGAAAGGCATTGAAAGTGACAGAAATGTGAACTGCTCTCAAAAATTTAGATGTAAGTACAGTATTGCTTCTCAATTCTTTTCGGCACTCGTTTCAAAATAAATAATATTTGATATCTCTCAGTTGGTATTCGCTGTGGAGTGTACATTGGAACATGACTATTATATAAAAGAAGTGGGACAATGGCGCAGACAGATTATGAAACATACTTCCAAAAATTACCAAGAGAAAAAATTTATTGACTCAAATCAATCCAATAAAACAATTATTATTTGGAAAAAAAGCGTGTAAATTATAATGAGGAAGAAATGTTTAAAAGGTAATATCAGTACAGAGAAACTTCACCGTCACTACGCCAACCTGTAGGTAAAACTCCCATTTGATAACAGTCATGGATCTGACGAATTGGATACCAGAATTGAATGTAATTGCCCAGCAATAATCAACGACGTTATGAAACTGCAATTGGGACCTTTACCCCGAAAAGAGTTCAGATGGCTCGTAAATGACATGGATGTCTCTGAAAAGTGGCATCTCTTCAAGGAGGAGTTATTGAAATTAGCAAAGAGGGATAATCTTTTCGTGGAAGTCACATCCAGCAGATATTGTATGCTTAATTTTTTCATTTGCTAGGTTATTGTGGAAACCAATTATAAATTGTCTTAATATTAACTGTGTATAGATATTCTTATCGACATTCTATTATTAACAATGCACTAGTATAGTGGAGGTTTCTGGTGACGAGTTACTAGAAATTATGCATAACATATTTACAAAGACCTACTAACCAAAAACTGAATTTGATGAGGAAATATTAGAGAAACTTGTCCAGATTATTAATGCATAATATCTTCTCTAGACTTATTTGATATGAAAAAATTCATATGCTCTCATTCTTGCTACAGCGCCTAAAATAAAAGAAATCACGAGAGATGCTGTTTCAGAACTACAAATTCTGGCAGTTTGCCGTTCTTATGGAGAACGCGACATTTTGAAGGTTATAAGAAACATATAAGATCGTAACAAATTATGGAGCAAGGAGATTTATTACAGCATCCAATGCTAAACACGTTTTATTTTTTAATTATTATTATTGAAAGTGCTCCAAGAGTAACATTTAAAAGCCCTGTCGGTGAGGTGGAATTACAGTATTTACTAGTTATATTGATACAATTTTCTGCCAATATTTCGGTATCCTGATAATGGTGTATTTTGAGGTGATAAGCTCTTTAACTTGGTAAATTAAACAGTATTGTAAAGTAAGAAGATTACTTTGTAAAGCAGATCTAGATCAAAAACTTATGTAAAAAATGAAACTTTACATAATTTTTAGGAGTTTGAATTGGTAGTAGACTTTCAAAAAACATAATTTCCAAAATCAAACTTAAAATCAACAGAATAACATCAGTTCTTAAGAACAGATATACTGTATATTCAATAGAGTTTTTATTTTAATAATTGTATATAATATGTAAAATTGTTATATTTCATAAACAAGAATATAAATTTGATCCTTAATGAATATTTCTATGTTGGGTGCCTTTTCACTCTATATTTCATACAGTCTTTCTCTGTCAAACTACGTTTTTTAATCAAATAATAAAAGAGATTATTTAAACTTTTATGACCTCATTTGTATTGATCTTTTTTATTATCTCACGTTACCCACCAGCATGATTATTGTGATTTTTTTGCGCGCGACGTTACGCGGTCAAAGTCCAATAGTTTTACTTTCGGTCTCATTACTAATTTTTGATATATTGAGTTACAATCAAGTTAATCGATCAAAAATAATATAAAAAGCGTCATCGTTCTTTGATTTTTTACCCACAAACAGCACCACAACACATACGTTTAAAGAGAATAAACGCTGAACAAATACTAAGCCCAGAATTACTAATGACGAACCTCCTATCTCCCGACGGAATATGTTAGGAAATGATGTATCAGGATTTCGAGTATTGGACGTTGTTACAGATCAAATATGAATTGAATTTTGTGTTATTCGAATAATATCAGGTGCGGTTCTGGTTCATGATTGATGGAATATCCAAAGTCAATGTTTGTGGGCATTGACATTGAAGAGACAATGAAATATTTATTTCAATGCAAAGTCCTCGAAGGACTTCCGTTCCCCAACAACACATTCAATTTTGCTTATCAATTTTTATGAACAGTGGTTGTTATGATCGATGAGGTTATCCGAATTACAAATCCTGGGTATGGATCGAGGTAATAATAAACAAATTTACGGTGCAACGTCGCGTCGATGAACTGGATAAATTCAAACCCAAATATATTCATTTGCAGGCAATTGAATCTTGAAGTCGTAAAATGTTTTGAGACAACTTGTTAAGGATGCGCTAAATTACAGTATATAAATTCTTTGCACAAAAAAAATTGTGATTGCATAATTATTACAGATGCCATTGAATCCCAGCAAAGAAAAATACTGAAATTCTTTTGTCGAATTTCAGTGTACCCCGCGATCTTATTATAATGTAATATACTGTAATAGGTGAATGCACATCTATCAGCTGCAGTATAATAAGCTATTTGGTAAAGTCTCTCGTCTAGGATTTCTAATTGGGTTGATTTTAGGAGATGAGATTGAACAATTAAAGTTACGTGTATTCTGTGAATTTGTGCTTTCTTTATAAGCCAAAGCGCCCTGTCTAAAGGTTTCAATTTTTCTACGTTCCGGAGCATTAAAAATACAAATGGTCTAATTGTTAATTATAGATTAGTTTTTACTCATTATTAATTCAGTTATTCCTTGGTTGTTTCCCAGGGCAACTTCCTGGGGTATAATAAAGTACTGTTTCTAGGGCAAAAATTTAACAAATGCGAAATATTCGGACAGCTTTGAATGTAAGGATGACTATCGAATAAAAGTATTTGCGTTTTTTTAATTAGATATTGATACTAATAAATCATATATATATATACATATATAAAGAAAAATCTGTCTACCTCCTCCTAAATGGATTCCTGTGTAGCTTTTTTTGCCGAAGTTTTCCATGACATCCGTACAAGTCCTCTTGAAATTGATAAAAAGCCTTGATTGAATAACAATATAATGAATATTAATATCAAACAAAAAAGAACGTTAGCAAAAAATTTCTAGCGACATTGAGTAAGAAATCACAGAAATACCTTATCGAACAATACTTTATCATCGAGATCAATTCCCACATAATTAAATCTAAATATAATAGAGAGGAAATCAGAAGAAGATACGCAGGCATAGTCTCGAAGTAAATTATATACCTTTCTATTGGAAACTTTAAAGCAGCTCGATGTAACTCGATAAATCTTCTTTGTTTAAATTGAAATCCTACGACGGTTATATTCCTTGGGTAGCGTCCCGTGAATTCATGAAAACGACAAATAGAGAATGCCAAATTTTCATATGAATCACGAGCATATTCTTCTGTGATAATATTCAAATAGTCTTTTGGAAACACATCAAGCGAACGTGCAATTTCCTAAGAACCAATGGTTTTTATAAGCCCATGGCTATAATTAATAAAAACATTTCATTATTTACCCAATAACTTTGCGCCTCACTTCTCGGACCAGCGGAAGGCCTAGTTTGTCCTCTAGAAAATATGATGACTGCTAAGTTAAAACCAAATGTAATTTGATGACTTTTTGAAAAATAGAAAAGCTTACCCACTAAATATTAACAAAGCTTCTTTATTATCTACTACCAATTCTACTCCTTTTCTAATATGCTCTATAAATGTTTTTACATGTCCCCCCCCTTTCTGAAACTCTTCTAATATCCATCCTTCATCACGATTTATTTTATCAAAATTATTTCCTATAAATATCGCATGCCCGGCAACAATCACTAGATCTCGAAGTTCTGGATAAGATGATTGTGTGCCAATAGATGCTATTTCAATACTATTATTGTTTGATGGTGTTTTGATTAAAGAAGACTCGAATTTCTCGAGATAAAGAAAGCAATAATGGTAAACATTGATAATTAACGAAGTTAAAAGGATACAAAGGAATCCAAGGAAGAGTGCTCGCTTTAATTTAGTAACTTTTTTTTTTTTTCCTACGTTATACAGCGGAAGAATTGACGAAAATTCCATTAGTTCAAGAATTATCCAAAGTAAGGGTTAACCGGCAGAGATTTGGGCACTGTAATTATTTTCGAAGATGGACAGGGTTTTATTGGACGCCATAATTAAATTCCTAAAATTTGCACTACAGTGTACGTAGCAAATAAGGACAAAAAATTAATTATATTCATCATTCAAAGACAATTCCAATTTAGGTGCAGCATCTGTGTACTAATAGCTGCATGCATTGTTTCGTAATACTGTATAGGTGATCAACAATTATACAGTACTATAACCAAAATTCTGTACTATAATAATTACACAAAAAATTAGAACTTTATTGAGACCTTTTTAAATTATAAATGTATGAGCGAGGAATATCAGTGCATATAAGTGATAAAGGTCTGATTATTATTTTACATGTACGGGGGACAAAAGTATTGCAACGTTTTTTCTGAAAACTAAATTGGTGTTATCAAAAATCCGATTATACGTAAGGTAGGTATGCCTAATTTGACGCAGTTAACCTTGACCAATAGTAAGTCTTTGAAGAATCGGCTTGAAATATACAAGTTTTTACTAAATTTGATGTATATTAATCTAAAATAAACATTTATTTAAAAATAATATATT